TGAGGATTATTTCTCCCTCTGCAAAAGTACAGGAGTGGTAACATTTGCACTCCAGGTAAAATTAGTTCTGCTCTGCAAAAACATTCTTTCTAAATCAATTTTACCCTATAGTAACCATGAGGTAAGCTACTTAAGTTCTTCCCTAACACAGAATTTTGAGGAAATTGAAGTTGGAGACCTGTGTCCCCTGTTTAAGGACTCACAACCAAATGAAGCTGGTTGAAGCCCTCTCTCTTCAACTAAGCAGAAATTACAATGAATCAATCTATATTCTTTCTGTGGGTTACAGAGAAAGAGCAAGTACACATGCCACTTTTGCATATTTCAATTCCATGTCTAATTTTTAGTACTCCTAGGGAAGAGGTGATATTTTAATTTAGCACTATCTGACTGGGAAGTGGGATACCTAGAAAACCCTAATACTAATGCAGAATGATGGAAGTTCCAGCCTACAATTTAGGCCATTGATTTGTTCTCTTTACCACTGTGAATGCAAAAAATTCAGCTTCTTCCATTCTATTTACTGCTATTTTACTTTGAATTTCAAACTGATTCAACAGCAGAAAAATCTTCAGCTCATTTGGAAATGGATGACAAGCAGATCTTTGGCAAACAAAAAAAAAAAAAAAAGCTCTGATTTGTTACCCAACAGGATATAAACAGTGTTTCTAGTGCTTCTTCCTCCCTCCCTTCTCCCTTTCAGGAAATTTCCCTTCCTCCATTGCTTTCCCCCTCTCACTTCATTATTTATTTGTTGTTACCTAAAGTGGTATCCAACAATGTGGCATCTCCAACAAGCTATTTAATGAATGCAATAAAACACTTTTTAACCAAGGCATTTGGCAGAATTTGAAATGTCAGCCTTACGAAATTAGGAGCCCAGCAACTGCTTTCTTTACTGACTCCAGAAATTGCCTCACAACGAAAAGATTAACTACTTCTCTTTCAATTATCAATAAAGAACTTGTATATGAATTTACAGTCTGATCTCAAAGGGCCTCTCACAAGGAATGAAATTCAAGTGTAGGTTTAGAATTAAACAAAGGAATGTGCTGTTCAACATAGGCCAATTTACCTGTAGGGGATCTTATTTAATGACAATGAGGATATTCCATGCTGGTTTATAGTCAGCACCGTATTAAAGCAAACACCTCTCTTCCACTTTTTGTGCCAGACTGGTGATTTTGTGGGGAGGGTAAACATCTGTATAGTTCTCTTCTGTGAATGAAAGTTGATTTTTGACACAGTCATTTACTAGCATTACTAGCTACTGCTAGTAGAAATACAACTTGGAACAAGAGTATTGATGCCCTGGTGTTTTCTCTTGGGGCCTATGATAATATAGTGATTAATGACTACCAAATGGAACACAGTGGTATGCAAACAATCAATACATCACAAATTTCATACATTTCAGGTATCTCAAAAGTATTTGATGTATACACATATCTTTCTCTAAAATTGACTGCAATTTGACTTTTTTATTGGTATCACTACTTCTGCTAAACAGGCATCTCTGAGTTCACAGAGAAGAAAAATGAAAGAATAGAGTTTCAATTCACACAGAGCTATCCTGTGCAGTCTTTGTTCTGCTGTGCTATAATCCAGGTAGCCTGTCTGAAAATAAGAATCTAAATAGAAATGGATTGCACAAATCACATTAGAACAGCTAGTGATGATGGGAAAGTCTAAATTGGATCACCATGAGACTTTTGAGAGGGAAAAAAAGTTATTTTTTTCTGCAGTGCACTTGAAATGAAAATGAGAGTAAGAGTGCAAGATGACAACTGACCTCCTAGGAAAAGCTGTTGCACATTCATCAGAGGAAGCAAGCAGGTCGTACATAGTAAATCAAAAGAGCTACCACAGAAGGCATGGTATTCTCTATACTGTCCCACACTAACAGTGATAGAATTTTAATGAGGTAAAACAAGAGTCTAGAAGCATACAAATTCCCTTTTTTATTTCCCTAGGAATAAGTAGGTTCATTGACGTGTGATCAGATCAGTGCCTCAGATAAACAGGAGACATCGCTGTCAGGTTTAACAAGGACACCCTCAGTCAGAACTGCATGGGATATAGATCTTGTTTCCAAAACAGCCCTGCCAGATCCCCAGATCTAATGATCCCTACAATGGCCTGCAAGATAAACGTCTCCTTCTAGCCACCATTTAGTTCATCATTCCTTTTGCAGGGAGGAAGAATAAAAAAAGTTTCTTTTTGCACCTGAAGCAAGGTCGTACCTCCAGGAAAGTTACTACACACAGGCTGAAGTCAGGTCTCTGCAATGCCCTCAGGCTGTGCAGCAGAGAACAGCAGAAAATCTACTGAGTAACTTTTAATCCTGAAAATGCAGTTTTGTCTAATTTTAACTATTTTTCTGTACTTTTTTACATTTTAGAATATATGGTTTTTTTTAAAGGATCAACTAAAAGAGACAAGTTTTAGAGGCAGTCTTTACCTACATCAGGATATGTGATACGTGCACCACTGATTCCAGTTTGACTGCAGGAACAATCCCATCCTAACAAGTTATATATGAATTGTGCAGGAATTGCAGCCAGCTGATAACAATCCACACAGCTTTCAAAAGCTGAGATTGTTTCACCACTGCACCAGAAGGACAAGGGTGTGTAAAAACTGAAGCATGGTTAAAACTGAAAATCTGGAGTATTACTCACAGCAATATGGTACAAGGGAGTATTTTGGGAGCAGTGGTAGGTCTGTAGGGTGAATGCAATTAAAACCATGTCTTTATTCTAAAAACTAAACAGAAAAAATTCAACTGGAATTCTATCTACATGAAACTGTTTGGGCTAAGTAACTTGTATTGGAAACATATTCTAATACATCCAGAAGTGCTTCATGCATGGTTAACAGTTTCTTTTAGCTAAACTTTTATAAACATTTAATCACACTCAGCACATCAGCTTTTACAGGACAAGAATCAAAAGGCACAAATTAAAGAGCAATTCTTTCATAATGAAAGTTTTCTTTATCCCCCAATGACTGCTTGTGACTTGACACAGGAGCACCCATGGCTTGAAAAAACCACTTGATAATATAAAATCATTATGAAATTTCTCTTTAAACACAATTGCTCAAACCCATTTGAAACTATTACTCTCTGTCCAAGAACCAGTAGCTCAGTGATGGCAGGAAGAGAAACAAGACATTATTCATAAAATATATATATAAAATAAGAAACACAGTAAAACAGGAAATATGCAGCTGTAAGTTTTGTATCCACACAATAAAAATGCAATTTATCATCTGCTTATTTCACAAGCTTGTCACATATTGCCAAGGATCATTTCATAATTTTTATTATATATTAAAAACCACTGGTTGATTTTAGATTTAAAAATGGTACCATGTAACTATAGGAGGAAAATAACACAAATGAAGCAATGCTGGGAGACAGAAACCAGGAGTTACATCATCTATGCATTCAAAACTGAGTTTACATAGCAAAAAAATAAAAAATTCCACAAACTATTTAGGATTAAAACTATTGTTTCCTCTCTCAAACCACTTCAAACACATTACACAGTGCTTTTCACAGTTTCTGGTGTAAGATCCTTACACATATTTCATATTTGTACTGGATGCAGCACAACAGGTTACCAAGCCCATCCTAAACACACCTTCAAACGTGTCAGATTATGCTCCATGCTCCCTCTGTCAGTATTAGGTGCATGTCTCTACCTACTGTAGGCCAAGATTCTCACATTTTGTTTTGCACACAGATTGCTACAAATACAGTTGCAGAGGATAAATCTTAACTGGTTAGAGCACAAAAGCAATGTGGGGAAGAAAAGCACAGCAAAAAAAGAAAGAAGAGGCAACTGGCTAGAACAGAGCACCCCTTCAAAGTTCCTCACAGAGAGTGCACTAGATTTCCATTTGAACAACAACCAGAAGCTTGGGTGCATGTGATTTTTTTTAAACTGGTGCCCAGTGTTCATCTATTGCCTAAGATTTCATTTGCGTGGCCCAACTGCCTATGTGCCAAAGTTTATCTCTGCTGCTTTTGTGCCCTTTTACTCAGGTTAACTTGGCACTTGGCTTCCCATGCCTGAAAGTCACACTGAGAAGTTTTGTGTCAATTTGATTCTTTGAAAAGCAGCGATGCCAGAGTCCCTGCTATCACTGGCCTCAGAACAGAGTAGTTATCAGCCACTTAACTGCCTACAGATTCTTGCTGAGGATCCAGCAGCCATCCTGAAATTAAACACCTAAAACACATTGCAAAACTTGACAGAAATTCCCCTCAAATCCTCAATAACAGCAGTAGCACCAAATTCACTCATACAAACGAGAACAAAAGTGCTAAATGGAATGAATGCTGCTGAGCACTGAGTGCTGCCCACAGAGAAAGGCACGTGTTTAAACATTGCTGGACTTTGTGGGCTGCATTACTGACACTACAACTTTTTATGCTTTAGTTGAAGGTAACCAACACATAAGGACAGAAAAAAAAAAATAACCCAAACCAACATGTAATGAAGTTACTGAAGCCACAGCCACAATTTCTTTTGTAAAAAAAAAAAATTCTCTCAGCCATTCTTTTGCTTGGAAAGACAAACAATGTAGTATTCCCTTATCTACAGCTATTAAACGATAGTGAACTATTAAATTATTTGTACTTCTTAAGTAATTTTCAAATATTTTAATAGCTGCTCAGGTTTACTTGCTGGCTCATGATCCAATCTACTACAGCTACTGAAAATGCTATAGGTTTTTTTATGCCTTCCTGCCTGGGCTGGGAAGAAAAGAATAAGACAAGAATAAAAATCTGACAAGCTGGAATAACTGATCTTCACAACTCACAAATTAATTCAAGGTCTACTTACAGCACGGAACAGTTCTCAAATCCAATCAGTGTTAACTAAAAAACCCCCCATAGCACAAAGACACAGGAGCTTCCAGTAAGGGTAAAAAGTAGTTAAGGAACCCAAAAGCTGTTTTCAGAGCAAAAATAAAGCTAGTGACCAACATTCTCTTAATTCCTTTTAATCATCAGTTGCACAACACACCATTTTTAAAAATGCAAAAGCCATCACAGTAAATGAATGAAATCAAAGAAGATGTGCATTTCAACATTTTACTGGCAATCGTGATCTGATGCCAGTAACAAAATGCAACCATAATCTAATAAGACCATTTGAAATTATTTTAGAAATTCTTGATCTAGGCCATTTTCAATGTCTTGCATCACTTTGGCAAAAAAAAAAAAAAAAATCCTTAAGGAAAAAGAATCATTTAATGCAATTTTTATTGATAGAACAGAATACATGAAAAAAAAAAGCAGCTACTGATCAGAATATACTGAAATGAAGACAGACCTGGTGTGCCAGTGGAATTTTAGTTGAAAGCTATGTACTTCAAGACATTATTCAAGTCAAAACTCAAGGAAAACTTGAGAATAAAGAACAGCTGTTAAAGTTTTAACTGTGTCTCCAAAAGCCGTTTACACAGTATACACACGCACTCACTCTTTTCGCAGTATTTATTTGCAAGGCTGTAGCTCTGAGATTTCTCCTTCAGGAATAAATTATTTATTATGATACAGTGCACAGAACACAGTGAAACATTTCCTCAATACTCAGAAGACAGATACAGTGCAAAGTCCGTGCCTCTGAAAATGAGAAATGGAGACAACAGCCTCCTTCCATCTTCATTAGCTGGATCCCTTCTCCTCTTTGGCAGCAGAGGCCTCCATAGAGGCAGCTTCCAAATCTTTGCTGGACTTCTCATCACTTTCATCCTCTTGAGGGTAAAGATCTGGGTATTTTTGCATGCATTCCTGCATGGCACGGAACTGGTCCACACAGTCTGATCCCTTTATTTCTTCTGTGCTGTAGTGGAAACAAGAAAAGGCAGACTTGAACTGCTCCCCACAGGGACCACTAGCCATTCCACCCAGACATGGGCAATTCCAGTTGATATCTCCATTGGGCAATATCAATCCTGAACAAAAAAAAAGAGAGAAGAAAAGTTAATGCTCCTTCTAAATGTTGGTTTCACTCAGAGACAGCTGCTGGGCTGCAGGTGTGAACTCAGGCATTTATAATGCCATCTTAGTTCTGTAGCTCCAAGGCTGATAAACACCTTTCACTTCCCAGCCAGTCTGTTTCTCCGTCTGATCTGTATAATCCCTTAATGGCACAAGTGAGATTAGCTCTCTATCCCTCTCTGAACTAAGTCCTTCTCCCTGGACTACAGACCACTGAGAATATTCTAAAGGAACTGCAAAACAGATAGAAGTCAAGTCAATTGGTTTGCCAGACTCTGTCAGGGGAACAAGCAAGCATTAAAAAAATGCCATACAAGAATTAAAATACAATATTAAGCCTAGAAATCTTTTAAATCAAATAAAATGGATGCATTTTTCTTCTTGTTTTAAATAAACTGAAATAACAACCCACAACTTTCCCCCTCCAAATTTCAGCCAGAAGACCAGAACTGCAAAAACAAAAATCAGTGTATTTGTAAAGCACAGATTAAGTCACGTGCCACAGAACACAAGCGAGAGCAAGCCTGTCTGGTTGCCAGAAACCAAATTGTACTTTAGAACACAACTGAAAGGAGTTAAGTATCACTTCAGACTCTAAACTGGAACAGCTATAAACCTCTGCCCTGGAACAACTAAAGTTGTGACAGAAATACTTCAGTGATGGACTGGCAAGGTGGAGATTTAAGGGAATATGTTCTTCTAGATGGCAACTGATTTACACAATGAAGCAGGATTGAGAGGAACATCATTAGTCATAGAAACAGTCCTGTACATCTGATCATGTCATCAAGTTCTTTCTTAAAAGAATGAGGGGTTTTGCTTCATCAGTGCTCTGTAGCAATCACTTTAAAACTGTCTCTAAAATAAGATGACAGGAACAAATCTGGAAAAACAGAAGAGAAAGACCAGCACTAATCTGTGTCTGAGGTCCAATTCCGTAAGTACTTTTATCCAACCTTCCCATCACAGCTGTAGCACTAATAAAAGTCACTTTGCATGCATAAAACTCATCAGTGCCTTCTTCATGTAAGCTTAATAAAATAAAAAATCATTCTAACTTATGGCAGCCAAGATGTTGGTGAAAACCAGGAATCCTTCATGTTTAAGCTCCACCATCTGCAACACATAGGACTAAAAAGAAGCCTTACAGTAACAACAGTTTTTCAAAACCACTGCAAATGAATTCTTAGTTTGTTTCCATCAGCCACAGATGTCAAAAGGCACAGACAGTGAACTGTGATCTTCACTGCAGTATGAAATCCTAGCCTGAACTTACTCCAGTTTGTCTGCCTTTCCATTTCACGTGATTTTCTTCTTTCAATGTTTTTAGCTTAAAGTGATCCATTAACATTTTGCCTACCAAAATCTCCCAGCTGATACAAGAACAACAAAATATTGACAGAAATAAGAGCAGCATACAACTGGTTTTTATGCTAAGGGAAACAGAACACAGGTTTTCCTGACCATCTATTGACTCAAGTAGACTGCTCAAAGACTAATGTCTGTGACAAAATAAGAACCATCAAAAATTAACAAATACCAAACTACACGTCTATCTCAAGTATGAAAAAGGCCCCTACAAAAAACCAAAACCTCAAACCCAAGTTTCAGGTTATTAGAAAACAGTACAGATTATGGTAGGTCTGTATGATGCATCTATTCTTTCCCAGATATGACTGGTGTCTTTGGCACAGAAGAAAACATGTAAAGAGTCTTTATAGTTAATTATAGTTATAATTCAACAGAATTTGAACACTGGAAACCATATCTTCTATTCAAAATAGAAGCTAAATTAGAAAAGCCTGCATTTTACACTAGGTACAGCAAAACCCTTCACAATTTTCTTTTAAATAAAAGCCATGCAAGACATACTGTCAGCATTTCAGCAGACTCCAAACCATTTTACCCATGTCTTTCCTGCCCATAAGCTTCACTCCCATTAGATGCAGCTACATTCTGTGATGTGTCCATTTTCTCTCCTCTGATCTAATGCACTGTAGCCCTGGGTCATTCAAGTGATTTTTCAGACTTTAAAACACAGCAGTAATTTACCACATACTAAGAAGAAAACTCAACAAACTAACAAAGAAAACTACACAAGAAATCCCCACCCAAACTTACTGACCACACTTAAACATAGTTTACAGTTTCTCATTTTGAATGCCACAGACACACACTGTCCCTGTAAGATGACATTAAAAGCTCCAGGATTTCCCCCTTTATTCTCTGACCTACTGTTGAGAAAGAAAGTGACCTAACATTCTCTAAATGCAGGGTTGCTAGGAAACAAACCCCATCACCTCTCCTCCTCACCACAGCCTTTCCATGTCCAGGAAAATAGACATAAGAGCAATCAACTGCTATGGCATTTTAACAAAAATAAAGCGATTCATTAATTTTGACTAGTTTATTACCCAAACGCATGTCACACCAGGTCATCAACAGACTTAGTGTCCTGTGAGAAATGTGAGAAAAACTTTTGTATACATAACTGCTACATACAGCTGTAATGAAGCCAAAAGAGGCAGATAAAAGCAGCAACATTTCAACACAAATCTATGTACAAGAAAAGTTAATGACATAGGAAGGGGTGGTTCAAATGACAGTACACACTGTAACAGCTAACAAAGAGGCCCTGTGAGCTCCAGCTACTAAACTGCTTAAATGCTGCCCTCTAAAGGTCTTGGAGACACTTTAGAAAACGTAACTTTCACTTTCTAACTAAATTTCAAAGAGCCTGCAGAATTTACTTCAGCTTCAGTTGAGCTGAAACCAATGCGATCACTTCACACAAAGAGGCCGGAAGACCTGTAAACATAGAAGTAATTATTAAAAAAATAACCTAAACTCACATTTTCAAGATAATGATTAGCCCAGGGCAAAACTTATTAAATCATCATGATTGGAAGATTACTTCATTTACCTGTTATTTGGTCTGTGCAACCAGAATATTGTATGTCTTGGTCTCAGAAATACTCTGCTTTCTTAAATCTCTATTTGCAGGTTAGATATACTTCATACAAGAACTGTAATCTTCATGAAAACTTTTCTCTTTTCAAGGCAAGATGATTACAGTTGAAAACTCAATAATTTTAACTTACCCGTCATGTGCCACTAAAAGATACTGATTATACTGCTAACAGTATTGATTAGCCAGCTATTAATTTATATTAAATCAGATACTCAAAGATCACCAAATTGTGCAATTTCAGCTGCACACAACCAGATGAGCAACTCACATCAATGACAGTGATATGTAACTCACCAGCTTCTCTGAAAATTGCATGCTGTTAATTAAAACTTAGAAAAAACAAACTTAATTTTCACTTGATTAGGCTCTAACTTTATTAATAAAAGGAAAAGGTATCCCTGCTTATCCCTGGCTACTAACCAAAACTAAAAGCCATCAATTGATTATTTGAACAGGCCACTAAGACAAACCATTTCTTTCTCTACAAGTGTAGAGAAAGAAATACTGGACTAAAGTGTGTCATTAGTGATGTCCTAATCTGTCAGTTAAAACTACCAACAGTTTGGGTATGTACTGCATAACCAGCTGCCCTCAGTCTTTAAATATGCTTGAGGTTTTATAACTCAGAGGGTTTGTTTTCTGTTGGATTTATATATGATATAACATCCCTTACTTCCGTTCTTCTGCTCACTACTGACCTTGCTCTTCGTAAGGGTCATCTGGGTCATCTGCAACCAGCTCAGCACTGCTCGGTGTCTCATGGTCCTCCTTGGTTGCAAATATTATTCTGTCTTTTCCTACCATGGAGGAGAGAGGAAGCAAAAGTTCAGAGAAATCCGAGACAGAAAGAGTCATTTACAAAACTACTGAACACCACAAGGTAATGATATATTCAACGTGATGCACTAGTGTTAATAGAGAATGAACTGTTGTACTTAACAATCACCTTCAATTAGAACAGTTACTAGTTCAGAGGAACACATACACACTGAAATTCTGTTATTCAAAAGCAATTTTCATAGCAATGTGCTGTAATGGCTGCAGATCACAGTACAGTTCACTGAACTGCTAAGTTAAAAACCTGTTTCAAAACAAACTCAAATTACTCAAATATCAAGACTAAAGCAGATGAAGGATTTAGAATAAAAAAAAAAAAAAAGTGAAAGCTATAATAACAGTAAAGTGTTCAATAGGAACTTATTAATAACAGTGCTTTTTGCTGAAGATTGGTGTAGTATTTTACATTAATCATCTGAATTAAAAACTGAAGATAGTCATCACCATATAGAACTAACTACATTGAAAGGTACTGTGAACATCACAAGGGATGGAAATCTAACGGAGCGAATTTCCTGCTCTTGATTTAACTAAAACATTCTGTAGCAGGGTTGGGAGAGGTTTGGCTGGAAACTTCAGTAGTTTTAGTTTTCTAACCACCCTGCAAAGCTCTAACACACAGTCTGAGGCACAAGCAGAGAACGGCTAGCTGAAACTCTTCTGAATACACAACTAAGTATTCTGAGAGTGGAAAAAATGGTAAATTCCCCAAGAATTCTCCAAACTCATAAAGGCCACTACAGCAACTTGGCGTGCTAGAAATTAGAATTTCCTGGCCCCTCAGTGTGACCTCAGCCAGCAGACCTTCAGTAACTTAACTCTGCTCAGTAACCACGCATTTAAACGTGTCTGAAAAACAGACAAATCTAACACTTTAAAAACAAGGGAAACGGTTTTCTTACAACTCTGCATTGCACTCCAGCAAACTTTACAATGCGGAATGTTTGGTCATTTCTCATATAAAAGGAGCTAGAAACCCACGAACTCTAACCCTGTCACTGCAATTTTGTAGGGTTGCATAAGGCAACTTACAGATCTTGCAAAATTAAACAAAGCACAGCATAAAAGAGGTCCATAGGTTATGACTACCTCAATGCAGTTTATAGTCTGTGTCCAAGTTTGTAACTTATAAATGGCATTTAGAACTACTGACGCTTTTTTTCCAGTCTGAAACTTTACATTTAGCCACTTCGCATTACTTAGGAGTGCAAAGATATTTATGTATACATATGTAGGTATAGATATACATCTAGATATTCATCTACGTATCTGCCAATTTAAGAAGTGGTCAAGAGTCAATAAATACCACCACCTGTACAAAATGATAACAGAAAACCTCGCACTCTACCCATTCTGTCCATCGACCTTAAAAAGACAGAACTCCACACCTCTGGCCACTCAGCTAGGCTGGGATAAATTTAACCCCTGCGGGCAGAAGGCGCTCCGCAGCCGGGAGCTGCCCTGCCCGCAC